GGCTAACATAGTAAGGCTATATGCCTGATCTGTTCTCCGCCTGGGTAAAGGAAATATTAGTTCAGTAGGCCTGGCTTGGAGCGAGCTATACACCCTGGGTTTCATACCCATGCTACCTACTCTCTTGGTATTAACACTTAGTTTTTGTTGATGAGGCCCCGAGGTCATCCTCAGCTCGGCGCTTTAGCCCTTAGGAAAATTTCCTAGGTTTTTTGCCAATGCCGAAGAGGCAACTGGGTCTTGTACTGCCGAGGTCTTTGTTACCTCGGTGTTCTGGCCCATAGGCTCTGGGAGCGGCTCACAGTTCGCTCAGTTCGGTAGCTTATAGGTAATATCGCCTTAGGTTGACGATGTTCCAAGCTCGGGGTATTTGTTTACCCTCCAGGGTCTCGAGCTCGTATGCTCCCCCGAGTGCTCTCTTTATTCGGTAGGGTCCTTCCCAATTCGGCCTGAGTTTGCCAACGCCGAGCTCAGGTACCATGATCTTGTGGAGAACCAGGTTGCCGACGCGAAAGTTTCATTTCTTAACTCTGGCGTTGTAGTACCAAGCTACCCTTTGCTGGTATGCTGTGGTTCTGATGTATCTGAGGTCCCTCACCTTGTCAAGAAGGTCGAGGTTGGTACGTAGCTCGTCATTATTAGTATTGTCGTTGTATGCTTCCAACCGAAGTGAGGGGACTTTGATTTCGGCTGGGATGACTGCCTCCGTGCCATAGGTGAGGTTAAAGTGAGTTTCTCCGATGGCGGTCTTCTCTGTAGTTCGGTATGCCCATAGGACGTTGGGTAGATCGTCTGCCCATAACCCTTTAGCTCGGTCTAGCCTGGCTTTTAGTCTACAGAGGATAGCTCTGTTCGTGACTTTTGCCTGACTGTTTGCTTGTGGGTGCGCAACCGACGTGAAGTTTTTCGGATCCCCATGTCTTGGCACCACTCTTGGAATTTGATATCCTCGAACTGCTTGCCATTGTCAGAGATTAGCACCCGAGGTAGCCTGAAGCGGGACACTATGTTCTTCTAGAAGAAGTTTTGGACGTTTCGAGTTGTGATAGTTACGAGAGTTTCAGCTTCGACCCACTTGGTGAAGTAGTCTACTGCCACTACTAGGAACTTCCTTCCTCCTATTGCTTCCGGGAATGGCCCGAGTAGGTTGATACCCCATTGTGCGAAGGGCCACGGGCTGGTGAGGTACTTGAGGTCGGCGGTGGGTTGGTGGTGAATATTGGCGTGCTTTTGGCACTTCTCGCACTTCCTGACTAGCCGATGGCGTCTGCTTTCATTGTTGGCCAATAGTACCTCTGTCATAGTGCTTTTTGGGCGACGACCCTACCCCCTAGGTGTCCGCCACATAGGCCTTCATGAATGTCGTGGAGTACGAGCTCGGCTTCGGGAGGTCGTAAGTAGCGCAGGTAGGGGAGCGTGTAGGATCTTCGGTANAGCTCGGCTTCGGGAGGTCGTAAGTAGCGCAGGTAGGGGAGCGTGTAGGATCTTCGGTACAGCCGTCCGTCTATCATGACATACTTGGCTACCTGACGCTCTACCCTCCTGGTGGCATTGCGGTCTGCGGGGAGGGTTCCGTGTAGCTGGAAGCTCGCGAGTGGATCAATCCAGCTTGATTCTGCATGGGCGACAGGAGCGACCTCCTCTACCCCCCGGAGAATGCTAAGCCGAGGTAAGTCTTCTATGTACACAGTTCCCATGGTGTTGTCACTGGTGCTGGCTAGCCGGGACAGGGCGTCGGCCTCAGTGTTCTCTGACCTTGGTATTTGCTTGATAAAATGTGACTAGAAGCTAAGAAGAGCCTCTTTTACCTTTGCTAAGTAAGCGATCATAGTTGGCTTGCGGGCTTTGTATTCCCCTATAACTTGGTTGACCACAAGCTGGGAATTGCTGCAGATAACTACGTGTTTTGCCTTTACCTCTTGTGTCAGGGCTAGCCCGGCTATCAACACTTCGTATTCTACCTCATTGTTGGATGCCGTGAACTCGAAGCACAGCGCGTACTCCAGTTTCGTGCCACTCGGACCGTGGAGAACTACACTGGCTCCGCTACCCTGCTGATTTGAGGAGCCATCTACATAAAGGATCCAGGGTTCTTCATCCCAGTTCGCGCTCGGCCTAATCAGGAGAGATACCGAACTGGGTGCGACCTCACAGGGCTCGGACTCAACCGACCAGGGAGTGCCGAGCTCGCCCGAACTAGGAGCCCCGTACTCAACTGGGCTGAGGACCTCGGAGCTAAACGTGCATTCTGCAACAAAATCCGCCAAGGCTTGGGCTTTGATAGCAGTTCGTGGCTTGTACTGGAGGTCATACTCACTGAGTTCGATGGCCCACTTCGTCAATCGACCAGAGACCTCGGGCCTGAGCAAGACTTGCCTCAAGGGTTTGTCGGTGAGGACGACGATGGTATGGGCTTGGAAATACGGACAAAGTTTACGGGCCGCAATGACCAGCGCATAGGCTAGCTTTTCTATCTCTGGATATCTTATTTCTGCTCCCTGCAATATTTTACTAACATAGTAGATGGGTCGTTGGACCCGATCTGCCTCCTTTACCAGTACCGAACTGACCACTTCGTCGTTTGCCGAGAGGTACAGTTCTAAAACATCGTCCTCTTCGGGCCGGGTCGACACTGGGATACTCGCGAGGTATTTTTTGAGCTCGTTAAACGCGAGCTGGCATTCCGGGTTTCACTCGAACCCTTTGCTTTTCATTGCCTTGAAGAAGAGCAGGCAACGGTCTACTGATTTAAGCATGACAAATAGGGAGGTCACTGCCTCAGAGGTATCTCTAATTAGTTTTAGGCTTTTAGCTATTGTTTTTCTAGTACAAGAGACCATGCAGACTAGAGGGTTTTTTTTCTCTTCATGTGTTTGACCCCCACAAAGGGTTTCTTTTTTGTTTTATATGCATTTTTCTATCCTTCCTATATTTTCCAATTTTTCATATTTTCATCATTTTCCTTCCCATATTTTCCAATTTTCCTTGTTTGAAATTTTTTATATTTTTGTATTTTTAGTTTTTTTTTGCAATTTTTAATGTTTCCCATATTTCCTTTATTTCTTGTATTTTATTATTTTTCTTTGTTATATTATTTGCAGTTTTTTATTTTTTTTTGCATTTTCCTCTCTCTCTGTTGTATTTTCTACAATTTATATTTTTCATATTTTGTTATTCTTTTAATTTTTCAAGTTTTCTGTATTTTTCTAATTTTCTATTTCTTCCTCTTTTTCTTTGTTGTATTTTCTACATTTTTCTATTTTTAATATTTTGCTGTATTCTTTTGTAGTTTTCTGGTTTTTACTCGTCTTCTATATTTTCCTCTTCATTTTTGTTGTATTTGCCATATTATCTCCAATTTCTTATTTTTCCTTTATTAACCATTTCTGTTGTTTTTTCAGTTTTCTACAATTTTCTTTTTTGTTTTTCCATATTATCCAAAATTTCCTATATTTTCATACTGATGTCTATATTTTACAAAGAAAATAATAACTATAAGGACAGTTTACAGCATATGGCTTTCAAAACCGGACCGGACCGGACCAGATGGTTGGACCAGTAAAACCAGGAATCCATCAAGTGGCTGGTTCCATTTTACCCCAGAACCATTATTTTGCCAAAAAACCATTGATTTGGTCAGAAAACCACTGACCCAGGCAGTCAAACCATTTGAACCATTCAAACCATCCAACGGTTTTGACCATTTTTTATTTTTAAAATTTTTTGTCAGAACGGACCATCAGTTTGGTTCAAACAGTTGGGCCATTCAACCTGAGAACCGGACCCCTGACCGGTTCGTTGTCCGGTTTGATTTTAAAAACCTTGGTTTACGGTTTTTGAAACGTTTAAACTCGCATATAATAGTCACATAGATCTACCAAAACTTCTCTTTACCCCCAATGCTCTGTGTATTTGAAACATGAAAAAGGAAGACAAGTAATTTGATCTTTTATTTTATTCATTGTAGCTTTTCTGAATTGAAGCTTCATATCTGAAAAACACAAGCTGCCGGATAGTGATCTGATAAGCTACCGAAGTTGATCCTGTAAGGCCCAGAAAAACCTTCACCATTATGATCCTTGCTGTTGACAGAGAAGATTTGTCTAGTCAGAATAACTCTTGGCTGTGTTTGGTTGTAATGCGAATTTGCAGTGTAAATGATTTTAGTGCAACTGATGATTTATTTTTATTTCAAAATTTACCTTATTTTGTTCGATTGCAGTACAAATCAACTAAAGCAAGACTTGAAGCAAAATAAAGTAACACCCAAAACAAAATTAAACCAGAATTTGCATTATTTTCATTTGCACTCCCATGCATTTGTACTAGTGCAACTAAAATTGCACAACCAAACACAGCCTTATGGACAGTCAAGGAAGAAAAACAGTTCCAGACTTCTGTCATTGTCATAAGGCTTGAAGTATTTCTCAATATCACTGAAAGATTTGGATGGTTGTGGACCTTTCCAACATACTGTGAATGCTTCATCAGGTACTTCTTTCAATGGTTTTCGAGCTAAATGCCTCTTCAACTGAAAATATATACGTCAGAAATATTCAAAATAAAAAGAGGATAACGAATTACAAATTAAATCAAGGAATTCTGTGAAGCATCCATCATACCTAAAAACCAAATGGGCTTAAAAACAAGATCCATTGGTAAGGCAGGGTGGGAACTCATATGTAGTATAACAGTCTTAAATTGATGACCTGAAAGAGCATCTCTTATTAGCATTTTGATGGCATGTTATGATGGAATAGACCAATCTCACTGTGCATTAATAGTTCATACCAACAGAACAAAGTTTTGGAAATTTCAAAACATAACAAAATTTTGGAGATTTGAATAGCAAATGCCAATTAGCAGGTCAAACCCGACTTACCTCAATCTTTCTTCTTTTTTATAAATGTAATTTTGGAGCTTTATTCCCAAAAAAAGTAGTGTTTTGATCCATTTTCCTGGATATTTTCTCATTGCAAGTATCTGAAGATAGACTTTGTCCAACCAAAAAGCCTTCAGTAAAATGGCTGATCTAAAAGTATATAAATACAGCTAAACAGAAAAATAGAAAGAAAACAAAAGAAAAGACTTCAAGAGATAAAGGGAGAGAGATTAGCAGCTAACAAAACCAAGAGAAATTGTTGTAATTGAGGCCTAATGTGTACTAAACAAATACAACTAAACAGAAATACAAAAAATATATATATAAAAATAAAAGAAAAGAAAACACAAAAGAAATTATATCATATTGAAAGAGAGGTTTGTCTTGGTAAACGAGGCTGTATTCTTTAAGCAGGAAAAATGTCTCATTATTTCAGTGTTTGTAAGTTAGAAATGGGTCAGTAGTGTAGTGTCCCTTTTCTGGATAGACTTTAAGGAGTGGAGTTAAATCAAGAAAGACAAGATGTGAGGTGGTGGAAGGAGAGTAAAAATGGCAGATTCACCATTAAATCTTTCTTTAAAGCTTTACTAAGAAATCAAGTGGGGAGTTCTCAATAAGAGGTGTTTGGAGTAATCCAGTTCCGCGGAGAGTGGAGGCTTTTAATTGCCTGTTGGCTTTGGACAGCATCCTAATCCAAGATCATCTGATGAATAGGGATCTGCAGTTGGTTAATTGATGTTATCTTTGTGAAGCAGATACAGAAAGTGTTGCACCTATGTTTCAGCTGTAGCTACACCAGTTGCATTTAGGCTTTCTTTTTCCAGTTGTTTAAGTTGGAAATGTAGTCTCATAAACACCTAAGAGAAATTAGGTGGAGAGTTCTCAAATAAGAGGTGTTTGGAGTAATCCAGTTCTGCTGTGAGTGGAGGCTTTTGATTGTCTGATGGCTTTGAACAGCATCCTAACCCAAGATCATCTGATGAATAGGGCTGCAGTTGGTTAATCGATGCCATCTTTGTGAAGCAGATACAGAAAATGTGTTGTAGCCATGTTTCCACTGCAGCTACACCAGTTGCATTTGAGCTTTCTTTTTCCAGCTGTTCAAGTTGGAAATGTGATCTCATAAGCATCAAAGAGAAATTTTTGCATGGTAACCAGTCATCAATGACAATAAGAAGGCAAGCTGATAAAAAAAAGGACAATAAGGCAAAGATCTTCTGGAGCTCTGTATTTTTTGGCTATTTATTGGGAAGTCTGGAAAGAAAGGAATATAAAATTGCTTGAATGGAAGTCAAAGAGCAAGGATAAATTGTGCGCATTGATAAGATCAAAGCTGGTTGATTGGGTCTCTGTCTTGAAGACTTTCAGGGAATTAGAAGAGAGGATTTTGGGGATAACTTTTGGTGTACCCTTGAGATGTATTAAATTATATTTTAGTTTTTAATGTATTGGGTGATGTCTCCTCACCAGCACTTTATGTACTGCTATTTTTATGTTAATAAATTCTTTTTATTTACCTTTAAAAAAAAAGATCTAGAGGATTCGACAACACAGGTTAGAATCTATTTCTGCTACATCAACCAAAACTTCAAAACTCCTTTCCCCATCTCCATTCAGGTTTAAATCTGATAACTACAATGAGATTTCTTGCTCAGAGGGGCCAAGAATGCAGTAGGATTGTAGAAATACCAAGATGATGAAAGGAATTTTGTGAGTAGAAAGGGTAACAAGTAGCAAACCAGGTGTTATAGGTCTATGAAAAACTGTGTAGTCAATCTTCAATCTTCCAACTTTTTTATCCCACCTATTTCTTCAAATCTAGTGACTAATGATCCCTCACTTCAATAAATCTTCAGCAGTTAGAGGAAGTACTTGGAATGGAGTCACCATCTTGAAGTAAGGTTGGGTTAGGGTTACAGTTGAGTTTCAACCCAAACCCAACTCAACCAAACTAACTTTATAATCAGGTTGGGTTACAGTTAGGTTTTAACACGTTGAATTGGGCAATGGTTGATGATAACTTAAACTTAGGTCTTGGGAAAACCTGTTGAATTGGGCTACAATTACAGTTGGAACCAACCATTGGAAGAGTCTCACACTAGCTTAGAGCCTGTACTTAGACTGTGAGTGTCTGGGAAGGCCAATGAATTCCCTACATAACTTCTGGGTTTATCACGATCATCCAAGTGCATGTACAATTGTCTAGGTATCAGATCTGACAGATAATGATACTAAGAGCAGCAAGTGTGATTTTTCTCAATTTCTTGTTCCATGGCACAGCCTCATGCAATTCAAAATATTTTCATCCCACAAAAAGAAAAGGAGGTACAACATTGCTGGGGCTATGGGAAGTTGGGTACCTTCTTGGTCCAAACAGCATATCATCTTGTGAATTCTTTGAAAGAGCAAAACAGGGGAATAATTCAGGTTATCAAAAGTGTCTGTGGAAGATGCTACGGAAGTTGGACATAACTCCAAAAATGAAATCCTTGGAACCACACACTCTGTAGTAGTCTGTACTTGATACACAATATATATGGGTTAGTTAAATTCTGGAAGCAGAGAAAAAAAAAATATTGACGTAATAATATTCATGCTAGCAATCAAGGTTGCAAGACAATGTACCCCAAAAAGGGCCCTGTCAAGTTCACATATATGACAAATCTTTCTCGTTTAGAAGAGAAACCTACAAAGAAAAGAAGTGGGTCAATCTATTTTTTTGCTAAAAGTGTGGGTCAATCTATTTGAGCCAAGAGTCAAGCCCCTTAAAATGTATCAAATTGGAAATTGCAGATACACTTCAAAGCCATAAACAGTCTACATTCCACAATGCACCACTTTCCTCAAGATCAGTGACTTCCTATTGGGCTATTGGTACTTGGTTAGGAGCTCCACAAAGTTCTTGCTCAATTCCAAAACAGTAATCACACTGAGAATATGAGATCCTTGCTTGACAAATACACAGAACAAAGCAGTCTTTTGCATACAATTCCTGTGAACTTTGTTTTGTCTTTACTTTTGCTAGGGAAACTTTTAGGTGGGTGGGGAAGATGAAGACAGGATAGAATCCCACTTCAGTGATAACTACATCAACTGATTCAATAAGCTGGACCAGTTGGTACGTTCATAAGCTTTGACAGTCTCGGATGAGGTATTAGACAGTTTGTACAACTCCGGCAAGGCATGGTCAGATATTCAAACCTACAATATATTAAAGATGTAAAGCAACGCAGAGTAGAAAAGCAGAACTGAATGTTGAACATTATCAGCCAAACTTTATGTCTCCAACTCAGCATCATGCATAACCAACTAGAAATCTCTGACCTACAACAGTATCTGAGTGCCTACTGCCTAACTCTTGTTCATCCAAAGACACTACACAGGACCTTTTTCTCCCTTGTCGTTTGTTTGTCTCCATGGCCTTCAAAAGCATAATCAAACTGGGAAACATTGGGGATTGAAAATCTTAAAGAAATTTGTAAACTAAACACACATAAACTTCTTCAGCTGCCCATTTACTCAGACCCATTAATCAGTTCCAAGTAGTCCATCTCACCTTCAATTATCTTCTGTAGTTGTGGAATTTCCTTCTGGTATCTGATCACAAACTTTTCCATGAAACCCTTCGTACTTAACTTGAGAGCTTGAACCACGTTGATATCCTTGTTAATAAGTCCCTTCGATAGCAACACTTGTATTATTGAATACCATGGAATCATCCTCTTCTCCAAACTAAAACAGAGAAGTATTGGGGTTTTGGCAATAAATGACGGTTCCAAGCCCATTTTGTTCATCAGAAAATCCATCCCTCTTATTATCTTCTCCTCCGACAGCACCAGACAATAAGGATGCTTTTTTATCATTGAGGTAATCTCGTTCTCTAGACAACCACATTTCTTAAAGATATCCAACTTTCTTTCCATCGTTGATTTTCTATTTAATGTTATTAAAGAAACTGCACGAGCAAAAGTCGATTTTGAAGGGTCGAACCCAAGATCCTTAATTTCTTTGACATTCTTAGTAAACAGATCAGGTGGACGAATAAGTGACTGAGGCTGAGTCCTTACAACGCTAATGATGAATCGTTCGGGCACACCATGATCACGAAGGGTCGCGATGTTGTGGTCCATACGCTTCCGATGAGACGATCCAAAAGCCCACCCCAAGCGTTTGAGAACGGTGACGACATTGTTGTTTGTGCGAACTATTCCCTTAAGATACTCATAACAAGGCATAATATGATTCTTTAAGCTAAACGTCAATATACTTGAGTCGAAACAGATTATCTTTGCAAGGTCAGGTGGGGAGAATCCGATAGAATATAAAAACGCAAATTTGGGCTTAAGGATTTTCTCAGGATCAAGAATGAGAAGCATCGGCCGATTTCTGATGATTCTAGAGATTTGGGTATCGGTAAACCCGTAGCTTCTGAGGAAGGAACGGACTGAGTCTGGTTTATCCGAGGTTTCAAACTGAACGAACTTGGATGCAGATACGGCGGCTTCCTTTGACAGCCCACATGAATTTATGAGGTAGGATACTGTAAATGGGTATCCATCCGTTGAAGTTGAGACGGGTTTCAGAAAAGGGTTTTGGAGAAAACCCAGATGGAGATGGTTGGTCAAATCTCCAGCAGTCCTAACCTGGTGTAGCCTTTTTCTAGCGCAAAGAAGAAGAAACATGCTTCAGGGAGAAACGAGGGATTATGATGAAATCCTACCTCAGTAGATGGAAGAGTCTAATAGCGATCTCCAATCGCTCGTGAGATTTGAGCTCCAATCCGCTGAATGGAAGAAGAAAATTTGCAAAATACGAACAGCCAGCCCTAAATCCTCATACAACACCACAAACGTTGCGCCTCCAACAAAAATCAGGGTAAATCTCTTAAATTACCCTTTCTGTTTAGCGTAATGACACGCGGTACCCCTATTATTTAACTATTGTCTATAATTGTCCAAATCCTCTCCCGCCGTTACTCCGACCCTTAGGTCGCGTTTGTTTGTGACATCACGTAATTGAGAAATTTTTCCATAATTTCTAAACTACTCTTTTACGGTCAAAAATACCCTTTCGGTTTTAGTTCAAGCTCACTGGCTACGTTAACACTGAACCTATTGGACCTGTCACCAGCATTGGAACTACGGTGTAAGGCTTACCGGTGTCCTGTTGCTAGTCACTGGCACTGGACCGTTGATTGTCAGCATCGGCATCGTCGATGCGGTGGACATTTTTTTAGAGTAGGGCTCGTCACCGAAATCCTCTTAACAAAACGGTGACCCCAAGGAGGGTTTTGAAACCCGCGGTGTTTTGGGACTACGGTGTGGGGGAGGATAATGGTGGTGACCCCAATGCACTGGATATCGAATAGATGCAGTCGTTGACTG